CTTTTCTTCAGGTGAAATCTTGGAGAATTAGAAGAACTCAAAGCACACTGTTGCTTGGGTTCCTTTCCATCACCCTTATATGAACTGTGTTGCCACGATACAAATCTGACAATGAATATGGAAATGTCTTAGTGATGTGTTGTGTTCTTGTGATATGAAGAAAATGGATCCAGTACCGGTCATGATACATAGCACAAGTGCGTCTTAATGACAGTGGAAATGTCACCGAAACAACGTAACATCATTTTTGAGGTAAGCTGAAGTGCAGCAAAGTATTTTATAGGAGTTATATTAGTTGTTCTCTTGTTTTAGACTTATTTTTCATGCACTAAATTTTGGGTATAAGGTACCTGTGGTTGTTTGGCTGTAGGGTTCTTCCTCAAAGTGATAGTTGCCAGTGTGCCTCATCCTGCTTGTAGCTTCCTCTTTGAGCCTGCATGTTTGCCTTCCTACTGTGCCATCCATGCAGCCATCGTTATTCTTACCTAGTATGCATGTGGCTTCCATTGGACAAATGAAGTAAAAATGCTCACTATTTCGTTTGCATGAATTTTTTGTCTTAGTATCGTAAGATAATAAAATGTGATGTAGTTGATTTAAATTGTAATGGAACTTGATAACTGTTAAATAGTATGTGATGTACATATTTGATTTAGAGTGTTCTCTTACATAGTTAATGTAATTAATATTTGACATTCTTATGTTTTAGCTGAGCGTCAATGTATATTTCTTTGAAGCTAGTGAATTTGTTTTTCTTTAGGCCATATTCTGGAGACTAATATAGCATGGGGAGTTGCTGGTTGTTGTAGGAGTGTGTCATCCTGAATAGAATTCAGCCGCAATGTGTCAATTCAAACTGAATGAGCAGGCAAATTTAGTGGAATCTGGTGAAGAGTGTTGGTGAAAATTGATCTACTCCTGGGTATGTAAGAGAGACATACATGGTCGTATTGACAGTGGAAATGATACCGCCACAACCTTCCAACATTTACGAGGTGAAGTATTTAAGTATTCTCTTCTGCAGGAGTCATCTTAATTCTTCTGTTCACTTAGACTTGATTTCCACGTGTTACAAGTTGAATTTTTGTTAACATATCTCAGTTATGTCAGCGTTTTTTTTTTCCTTGAAGTGACAGTGGCCTGATGAATCTCGCATATCTGCATCCGCTTGCCTTAGCCTCGATTCCTGTGTGCATTCCTAATTTTCAGCATGAATAAACCTGCTTCTTTATTCTTCTTCCTTCTTTCTTGCGTGCCTGCCTGGCTGCTTGCCCCATCTGGCATTGTTTTAACTAGAATTCCTGGTGCTTCCATTGGAATGAGGGTAGAAGGAAACTCACACTATTGACTTATCATGATTTTTGTCAGTTAATGACATGACTTAAAGTAAATGTAATTAATTTGACTCAAGTTATAATGGAAATTGAGACACTGTGAAATTGTTTGTCATACATATTTAACATTATCTGTTCTCTGATTAATTAATTTAATTAAGTATTTTTTATTATGATGTCCAAGTGAAGCGTCATATATTTCGAGGGAGTGAGTGACTGATACTTTTCTTAAGGTGAAATCTTGGAGAATTAGAAGACCTGGAAGGAGATTGCTGCTTGGGGTTCTTTGCATCGCCCTTATATGAACTGTGTTGCCACAATACAAATGTGACAATGAATATGGAAATCCTTCAGTGATGTCTTGTGTTGTTGAGATATGAAGAAAATGGATCCAGTACTGGTCATGATACATAGCACAAGTACGTCTTAATGACAGTGGAAATGTCACCGCCACACCGTAAAATCATTTTTGAGGTAAGCTGAAGAGCAGCAAAGTACTTTATAGGAGTTATATTAGTTGTTCTCTTCTTTTAGCCTTAATTTTCAAACACTAAATTTTGGGTTTAAATAGGATATTACACAGGCGAAGTGACAACTTTTGTCTGTTTTTATTCATGTTAACTCTTGAGGCGCTGTTCATATTCAGGAATTTATTTAAATATGTCAGATTTGCGGTGCTTGTAACTTTAGTATAATTTACATAACTTCCATCTGTGTAAAACTTCCGCATGAAGGAAGTCTTATTATCACTACTAAGGAGCTTGCTCTGGAAGTAAACGCAGAGAAAACTAAGTTTGGGTTCGATCCCAGTTTAAGTCACGTAGGATTTGTAGTACAGAAAAATGTACTGGAAGAAATATCCGGTTTCCCTTCCCAATTTTCATTCCCTGATCTACACCACGTTCATTAATCATTCTATCATGGACACTATATATTATATTATAGTTGAAAGATCGTCGGCTGCTAAGTAACGGCTAGTTAAATAAGTGAGCCACCGTTAGGAAGCAGTCAGCAAAGACAATAGATAAGTCATGGAAACCGTGTTTTCTATGCAGTCATTCCAGGGCCTACAAAATAAGGCTCACCTCATAATTGGAAGTTTTCAAAGTTTCACAAATGTCCGCAATTTTCAAACGATTTTCAACTTTCCGCATCTATACCATTACATACCAAAAATTATACAGGCAACAAGCAGAAGTCACACGAAATAATGAGAATAATCCTCATGGAGGCACAGAACATGGCGAAATCAGACACGACATATAAGAGGCTTAAACTTGGCAGAGGTCAAGCTTACGAATCTGTACCCAGGAACTCTGACCACTAGACCACAGAGGCGTTGTAGCATAGCATAAATAAATTGGCATGATCTGCTTTGCTGACATGGACTAACAGGAGGTATGTATACAGTGCAAAAGGAAGAATAGCATGTACACTTGAAAGTGGTCAATCATATCTATAAGAGACAAACCCATCCAATAGTCTTAGAGGATGTTACACAATGATTATGAGAGTAAGGCCTTATCTTTATTATTAGACTAAACATCAGTATTATTAATATAATATGTATACACTGCGTTCAATCAAGGAGGAAACTTGGCTACAGCACTGACCGGGACCAACATTCCTCACAGATTGCTGCCATAATTGCAGATAGCAGAATGAGTCATTAGCGCTGATTAATGTGCACCGTGATCTTGTCACTGCGGTTAAAGTCGCATTAATAATCAGTCTGTGTTAGAGATATCGATAGGCGGTCGACATATATACTGAAATAAAGTTCACCATTGAACAGCGTGTCTTTATTGTCGAAAATCTTCCAAGGAAAAACTTACAGAAAATGTATCCGTAAGTTTCGTCATAAACATTCTGATTCGCCAGTTCCCATAAGTCGGTTGTATTCAAGCTTGTGAAAAAGTGGCGGGCCACAGGTTCAGTGTGTGACATAAAGAACCAATCGAAGAGGATTGTGCTGACTGAGGAAAAAGTATGGGATGTTGAGACACAACTACAGATCAGTCCTCGAAAATCATTAAGACGCTTAGTACAGGAATCTAATGTTTCACTAGGATCTGCTTTCACAGCCACAAACTTAATCAAATTTCACCCATATAAATTAGCATTTGTGCATGAGCTGAAACAACCAGATTATGCAGCAATAATTCGTTTTTGCAACAGCTACTGCAAAATGTGCACGATGGAATCATGGATCCACAGCTTCTGTTCATGACCGATGAGGCATGGTTTCTCGTTAGTGGCCATGTCAATGCACAAGATGTAAGAATATGGAGCAATGAAAATCCTCACACTTTACAGCAAGTGCCTTTACATAGTGAAAAGTGGGGCTGTGGTGTGCTGTAAGTCTGCAGTGAATCACTGGCCCCTTATTTTTCCACAAAAACGTGAACTATGACCGCTACGTTAATGATATACTGAACTCATTCTTCAAGCAGCTGACTGATGAAGAAAGACAATATGGGTATTTTCAGCAAGACAGTGCTACAGCACATTCAGCTAATGCAGCCAAAGTCTCACTTAGGGAAGTGTTTGAAGACAGAATAATCAAGAGGGGAGTGTGGCATTCCAGTTCTCAGTTTCTGTGATTTTTATCTTTGGGGAAACCTACAGGGAAAATTTTCAATTCGATGCATGCCAAACATAAACAAAATTTATATCTCCCCTCCCACCACATCCTCACACACCCTATTTCTACCTCTACCTCACCCTTCTCTCCCTCTGTTGCACTGACTTCACAAACAACATACATCGCCGAATCAGTTGCAATTTATATTCTCACCAGAGCGGACAAAATACGATGGGGTACCCAAAAGAAACCGAACTAATGTTTTTGTGGGCAGAGCTTTTGTAGTACCGCATTTTGCCGCTATGAGCGCATAGAGCTAACATTCCTGTGTCGATAAGCCGACTACCGTTGCTTCAGAAGGTAAGGACTACTTTCGGCAGAGTTTAGAGTGACAACTGTTTTGTGTGATCGTCGTTTTTGCAATGGCTAATTTTCGTGAACAGCGTGCGGTGGTGAAATTCTGCTTTTTGCTCGTGAAAAGTGGAACACAAACTCTTGAAATGTTAAAAACGGTGTACAAGGACAATGCTATGGGGAAAACTTAAGTGTTTGAGTGGTTTACCCGTTTCAAAAATGGTGAAATGTCAATTGATGATAAACCTCGTTCTGGTCGTCCTTCCACAGCCCGAACACATGAAAATGTTGAAAAAAATCATGAAATCATCAAGGAAGATCGACAGCGGACCATTGAAGAAATTGTGGAGCTGTCGGGAGTGACTTGGAGCTAAGCGGCCAGATTTGTGGCAGCCGGGTGACTGGTTTTTCCATCATGACAATGCCCCTGGTCACACAGCCCTGTCTGTACGACAATTCTTGACCAAAAATGGTATGACCCCTGTTCCTCACTCTCCATACTCACCCGACCTTGCCCCATGCGACTTTTTTTGTTTCCTCGAATGAAAAGAGACATGAAAGGAAAAAACGACGGAGGCGCTGTCAAGCATCTCAAAATATGAATTTAGACAATGTTTTGAAAAATGGAATAAAAGACTAGACAAGTGTATTAGTGTAAGTGGAGAGTACTTTGAAGGGGATTGAAGGTTTGTGCTTAAAATTTGAATAAATAAGTTAAAAAAAATAAGTTCCGTTTCTTTTGGGTACCCCCTTGTACATTGTAATATGAGGCACTGGCCAAACAGCAAGTAAACAATACAACTATATTATCAATACCAAACCAATAGTTAATCACAATAAATTTAATGGCTGTTTTTTCTACATCATTTCCACATTAATACAAAATAATACTACACGTATACCACGGCCTCAAAAGCAGTTTACTATACGAGTCTTGAATATATCACTATATGTCTGCTGGAATATAACAACACGTTTGCAACAACTGACTTCATAACATGAAATCACATGAAGAGTTTTTAACCATATTTTATTACATACCTTTCGTTTTATAACAATTTTATAATTCATTATATATTCATTCATTGATTGTATTATTTTATATTGTAACATAGTTGTCAAGTATCTATCTCTACTGTTAAAAATGAAATGCAGTTCAATAATGTGTGAATGTTGTAACCATGTATTTTGCCTGATGATGGCTTTAAAAGCCGAAACATGTAGCTAAGGTAATGTTGACCTTGACTGTTATGTTGTTGTGTTATGACGGATTACAATAAAGAATTTTATCTAAAGGGAAAGGCCTACAAGAATAATCCTTGCACCACTGAAGCTCTGCAGAATGAAATAACTCACTTAATTAGTTCAATTGAACCAACTTCAGAATGTGTCGCATAATTTAATTATATGATGCAAGGCATATTTGCAAGCAGAAGGGGGTCACTTCCAACGTTTGTTATAAAGCATGATAACTTTCTGTTATCCTTTTACAGTATTCCTATAAATGTGTGCATGTACAGAAACTGATGTGAGGGAACCAGCGATACGACTGCTCTCTCGCTAGCGGGAAAGGCACAGTAGTCGTAGAGAAACAATCCATCCGCTCTACGCTAGCGAGCATGTATGCATTTATCAGCACTAATGACTCATTCCGCTACTGGCAGTTACAGCAGCAATCTGTGAGGAATGTTGTTCCTGCTTAGTGCTGTAGCCAGATTTCCTCAACGATTGAACGCCCTGTATAATATATATAATATATTAATATAATATTATGAAAGTAAGGGTTCATTTGATAAAAGAAATTCCTCTGTTCATGAACCTCAAGAGACTTGGTGCCAAGACAAACTGATCGGCAAACCGCCGGTGGTGAAGTAAATCTATAACTCTGACTTCACACCAGGTCAGTTAAACCGTGTAGAGCCAGGTTCGAATACCTCCACCGTAGCCCTGGGAGTCGTAGGAGACAATGAAAAGGAACTCAGTGCCTAGGAGTATAACAGGGTCACTCTGTTCCTAGGTGATATAAATACGGGAATGTGACCTTACAGTTTGGTAGAATCTCAAATCTGAGGCTGTAAACTGTAGTCATGGATCCAGCGGGACTCAGAACCGAGAATGACTGCCTCGGCGAGGGCCAGCAGCAATTGTAAATGACAGACCCATCCTCTTGTCACAGAGGGTGCCCTAAAACAAACCCGCAATTATCTGACAGTAACAAACATTTTTCCTTCTGCCCGAGATGTGGTTTGATGCCAAGACAGACTGGAAGACTGACCATGGGTCGTAATATAGTTGGAACTTTTTACTTTTTTGACACCAAGGTTTTATACCACTTACATTGAACAAACGGGATAGCCCCTTTGTGAACCATATTAAATGCTTCGGTGTAATGATCGACAAGAGGATTATATGAAGATTGCATAGAGAATGATCGAAGCCAGTACCTTTAGAAAATTTATTAGCGTCTATACCTTACGTTAAAGTGAGCAATTAAGCGCTAACCTTAAATTAACCCTCCATAAAGCACTAGTTAGATCATTAACGACTTATGTTTGCCCCGCCTGGAAATTTGCTGCAGATATCTATTTTTGCAGTGCTTACAGAACAAGGTTCTCCACACTATTCGTAAATCCCAAAGTGCATACCTGTCCTCGACTTGCAAACAGTTTTGAAGTACCGTATATTTATGAATAGACAAAGAAAATTTGCAAGTAACAAGCAGAGGTAATATAAAAACATGAAAATGCAAATGCTCTTGACATCGGAAAAGTGAGGCCCAACACAGAAAATATAAGTGGTTTAAGCTTGGCGGCGGTTAAACGTACGACTGTTCCGGTGACTAGGCAGTCGTTGTAAAATGAGCTACATGATTTAGGGCATGATCTACTCTGCCAAACCTAGACATGCCAAACTTACATGTAATGTTGTAAATGCAGATGACACGTACTACTGATTTTGACCGCGGTAAATGATAGAACCGTCCTCTCGTTAGAGTGGACGCCCCACATCAACAGAACCGCAACTGACAGTAATAAGAATCTGGTGTTGGGCCCCGAGTGGAGCTTGACACCTAGACTGACTGGCCAACTGATCATCGTTTGTAATATGACTTTGAATTGACACCAAGACTGTACAGCAGATTATGCCCTATCTTCAGTAGTTCCGGATAAAACAGCAGTCTAGTCGCTTGAACGGTCGAATGCTTGACTGACGTCAAGTTTAAGTCTCTTATATTTCCTCTGTCAGGCTTCGCCTTGTCCAGTGTTGCGAATATTTGCATTTTCATGATTTTGTATGCCTTCTGCTTCTTCTCTGCAGAATGTTATGTAATCATATATTTACAAAAATCTGAAAGTCATGTCAAATCGCGAACCAGTGTGCTCCTTGGAAAATTTTCAATGGTGAGAAGAACTTTGTTTTGCAGGCACTGCAGTTCCAATAGACGGGTACCTGCCGCAAACTCCCACGCATGGAAAGTGTAAGTCATGATAATCCTAATGATCAAATTTAATATCAGAGCTTTTTTTTGTATTGCTAGTGGAGTGGGACTAAGTCCATTTACTGCGGCCACTTCTGGCCTATTGTACCAGCCCCACATGATAGGTGAGGGTAATTGTGCACCAATTGGTGGAATGAAGATTGGCAGGAGAAACCGAAGTACTCACAGAAAACCTGCCCCAGCGCCACTTTGTCCACCAGAAATCCACTTGACCAGACCCGGGATCGAACCCGGGCTGCCGTGGTGGGAAGCCAGCGACTAACCGCTTAAGCTATGGCGCGGCCATACATCAGTGTTCAATCGCTCAAGTTCGAATAGGGAATATGTTCTAATAAATGTTCTGGAGGCATTGACTTCGATCATTTCTATGTGCAATCTCCATGCAACTTTCTTATAGAAGATTACACGGAGATATTTTACACTATTCACAAACGGAATATTTCGTCCATTCAGTATAAGATGGGACTCCGGCGGTCGACGACTGCGAGGAAAGTAAATCCCCCTAGTCTTATCTTCATTAATTTTAATATTCCAGCACTTGCACCAGGCTTCCATTGAGCTAAGACAACGCTGGGCATTTCTGACAAAATATCCACCTTTCGATCTTTCGCATACACACAGGTGTCATCAGCAAATTCAACACCAGGTGTTCTGGGGGAACATTTATATACCTGTTGTACAAAGTATGGGACAGGACAAGAACTTGAGGCATCCCTGCTTGCATTTCCCTTGGCGTAGACATTTCGCCTTCCACCGAAATACTGAATTGGCTTTGTGAAAGAAAGGAACGAATAAGCGTGATCAAATAGGTTGAACATTCCAAATTAGATAACTCATACAGCAAACCTGAGTACCATGTGGTATTAAAGGTTTCTTCGATGTCCAAGAACACCACGGAAGTAGGCCTTTTTATGTTGAAATAAAGGGTCACATAGTCTGCTAACCTCAAACATTGCAGAGTCGTGCTTTGACAGGCACTGAACTTACTTACTTGTAATGGAGCTGAGCCCTTCTGGAGGAGCCGCCAATTCTGCAGCTACTCAAGAATTTCCCAGCATTTTATGGAACCCGAAGGTTCATCACCGTGTTCACAAGAGACATCCACTGGTCCCTATTCTGAGCCAGATCGATCTAATCCATACCATCCCATCCTATCTCTCCAAGATCCATTTTAATATTGTCCACCCACCTACGCCTTGGTCTTCCCAGTGGTCTCATTCATTCTGGCTTTCCCACCAACATCCCATATGCATTCCTTTTCTCCCCCATTCATGCTACACGCCCTGCCCACCTCATCCTCCTTGACTTGATCATTATAATTATACTTGGAGAAGAGTACAAGTTATGAAGTTCCTCATTATGCAGTTTTCTCCAACCTCCTGTGATTTCATCTCTCTTTGGTCAAAATATTCTCCTCAACACCCTGTTCTCAAACACCCTCAGTCTGTGTTCCTCCCTTAATGTCAGAGACCAAGTTTCACACCCATACCTAACCACAGACAAAATTATAGTTTTGTATATTCTAACTCTTATGTTTTTGGACAACAGATGAGAAGACAAAAGGTTCTGGATTGAATGGTAGCAAGCATTACCTGAGTTCAATCTTCACTTAATTTCCTGCTGAATCAGGTTTTGAATTGTTATCGTCATTCCCAAATATCTGAACTGTGGCACATTTTCAGAACATCTGTTTCCTATCTTTATGTCATGATTTTGCCCTGCATTTTGGTGACGAGACAGTAACATATTGTCACGTGTTGGGTGTATAACACGACAAATAACTTCACGCCATATTTAATATAGCGAATTTATTGCACATTTGCTCTTACAATCATACACTTTACAATCTTAACATTACTGCCATCGGCAGTATCACAAATACTAGACTGCAAATGCTAGACTACAATTGACTGGTTGACTTCCTGGCTAACTCGTGACTAACTCGTAACTGTTGCCTTGAGAACTGTCTTCGGTGGCTGTGTAGTTTCCTTATATAGTCCCAGTGTTTGCCTGTTACGAAATGGGTACCGCTGTTGCCTGACGCCATGTTATGTCACCGCGAGGAGAGGGGCGGGGTGTTGACTTGCTTATTACCATAGTAACGACAGTGTTCCGATGCCGCCACGTACCGCTGGGGTGGGAGGGGGTGTCCTCCATTGCGCAACATAACACAGTATGCTTAGTTTTCTCTGTGTTTACTTCTAGACCAACCTCTTTACTTGCGTCAATTAAAGTTTGTGTGTTTTTCTATATGGTACCTACATTATCACCCAGTAGATTCATATCATCGGCACAGACCAACAGCTGATGTGTTCCGTTTAGTTTCAGTCCCACCTGGTTTCCCTGGACTTTCCTAATGGCATATTCTAAGGCAAAGTTGAAAAGGAGTGGCGATAAAGTATCTCCTTGTTTTAGACCATTCTGAAAAGGAAATTTATCAGACAAATGTTTACCTACACGGACTTTACTATACGTTTCCTTTAAACACATTTAATCAGCTTAACTAGTTTCATGGGTAACCCAAACTCTATCAGAATATTGTACAATACTTTCCTCCTAACTAAATTGTAGGCTTTCTTGAAGTCTATGAAAAGCTGATGTAGTGTCTCATCGTACTCCCATTTTTTCTCCAATATCTGATGAATGCAAAAGATCTGATCTCTAGTTGATCTGTTACGTCGAAACCCACACTGATGATCCCCAATAATTTCATCTATATATGGACTTAACGGTGAAACAAGAACATTGAACAAAATTTTATATGAAGTTAATAGCAGTGATATCCCCCGATAATTACTACACTCAGTTTTATCACCCTTCTTGTGAACTGGTACAATAATAGACTACTTCCACTGATCAGGCAATTTTTTCTTATGCCAAATAGAAGTAATTAGTTTGTGGATCTTAGAACGTACTATTTCGTCTCCTGCTTGAATAAGTTTTGCCGGGATTTGATCCCTACCTGGCAATTTATACAGTTTCAAATTTGCAATAGCACTTTCAACCTCAAAAGGGCTAGGATCAGGTATTAACGGCTCAGCTGTATGGGTTTCTGTCTGCCTAACAGCACTAACCCTATGTACATTCAATAACTGAGAGAAGTAGTTCCTCCACCTATTCAAAATACTGTGGGAATCTGCAAGCAGATCACCGTTTTCATTCTTCACTAAGTCACTGCTAAGCTGCTAACCCTTTTTAAAATCATTTATTCTTCTATACAGATCACTCATATTCTTGTTCTTACTGTTCATTGCAAGCTCATCAATTTTGTCTTTCAGATATTCCCTCTTTTTATTCCTGAAATGTCTGCTGGTTTTGCATCTTATATTGTCCAAATTATCCCTATGTATTTCACTTGGATCCTGTAACCATTGCAATTTGGCTTTCTTTGGTCTAATAATTTTGAGCATCCTTCATTGAACCATGGCTTATGCGCTTGTGGGAACATCCCACATTATCACGCATTTCCAAGGTCAAGGTCAAGGTCA